TTTTTCTTCATTTTTTTTAAATATTTTAAAATTTAAATGACTATTCCTTCGAAAAAATCTGCAAAATCTGTTAATACATCAAATAATTTCAAAATGTTATTATAAGAGTACTATAAGAATGCTTGTTCGAGAAAGGATATTTAAAAAAACAGAGAAAAGATAACGTGTAAATGTATTTATCATTATAAAAATTTCGACTGTCATTGTAAAAGCAAATTTAATTATTCTGCCTCCATTACTTCCTACGCAACTCCATGAAACTTGGGAGTTTTTATAGTTATTCTATAAATTATGAGTTTGCATGTAACTTAATTATTTTGCTATTAACTATAAGGAAACTTAAAAGAAATCTATCTTTAAAAATAATAATATTTTGTAGAGTCCACTCCCTTCACCAACCCCCAAAATTCCTTTCTAATTCATCATTGTATTTTCCCTCTAACCTTTAATATTTTTTTCACAAAAACGCAGAATAATTTGTTTTTAAACTATTCAGTTATTGTAGCTTTACGTAAGAATATTTTCTTAATAGGTTAATCAAAACTAAATAAACGAATACCCTGACTTGAAAAATAAACATGTGTACTTGAAAAAAAATTAACGTAATTAACATCGATTGTATAATTTAATAACAATATATAAACGGGAAGTAATTTTACTCGCTGATGAGACTTCTATAAAAATTCGAACAGAAACGTTTTTTTTTTATTACTCTTTATTAAGCCTTTTCATTTTTGAAAATTTCAATATAAATGCTAAAATTTATATCTGGCAATGGCATGTAATCTCTTTTCTACTCCCCTGTCTTTTTTGCTACTTTTAACTGACATTCAACACTGTTAGAAATTTCTCGGAAAAAATGGGTAAATAACAATTTATTGAATGGTTATTTTACCATATTTAATTAAAACAGTCAAATAACCGTAAATAAAATGGTAGTCAAACTGTTGAATTTGAGGAAAACTGTTTATTAACTGCTTTCACCTAATACGGTATAGCAACCAGAATTTTGATACACCAACTAAAACGACCTAATGAAGTTACTTAGTTGTTTGCAAAAGCTTACATATCATAGCCGAGCGGGTTTATCTGTCAATCTCATGGCTGGCAGAACTTGAGTTCGAGTCCTAGTGTTGATATCACAATATTTCCTCCATTCTCTTCAACACATGAAGAATTTCCAGTGTCCGGCATAATGCCTATTACCTTACGAAAAGCCGAGCTCCTATGTCTAATTACATAGTTAATTCGTTTTTTTACGTTTTTGAAAAATGCTAGTTGTAAATGGTAAAGAAACCGTATAGTTTTGTATTCATGGTTTTATAACTATACTTTTTGTAAATGGTTTCAAAACCATAAAGGAAAAAAAATTTCTTTACCGTAAACTTAACGGTTAAACGGATGGACAGACAGCTGCCAGTTATTTTACCATAACTTTAGAATGAAAATTTTAGCAGTGCAGCGCTAGCTTACAGAATAAAGTTCTCATGAAGAAAAAATAAATTCGCGACAACCTCAATGGAAGGCTAACGTTCTATACTTTGAGCCACCACTGCTCTCATGAAAATATTTAGCATTATTCATGATATATCCTTACAGTATATTTTTTAGATCGTTATCGAGATAATTAAGGAATATCGATATTTCACGATATATCGTCTAGCTCTTTTTGGCAGTGCTTGCTGAACTACTAGCTTCAAGGCCTGGTTTCTTAAGGCCTGGTTTCTTAGGACAGGACGCCGTCAGTTGGAAATCAGCGCTAACCTCTGATTGGTCCATTTGTGAGTTTGATAGTATACGTCATCGTACGCTCATCTTGAACTACAATTACCGTCCAACTCAACTGGAGTTGTATTACAACGTGGCGTTAACCACAGAAGCAATGGCGGACAACATCCAACAGCACATTGATATCAGCCAAGATTTTGATTTTGACATTAAACATAGCTTCTTCATTAAACATAGCACTCTTCATTTAGCTCAGCTATAATGTTTTTTTTTCTTGGACAAAGTCATTATTTGTTCTCTAAAACACTGGTCGACAATAACAAAATCAATACAAATTCAAAATAAATATTTGTTTACGTTATTAACGCATGTGCAATGAGAGATAATGTCTGCGTTGGACCAACTGCTCACGCTGAGCTAACAAAAAAGTATTTTTTTTGGCGTCAGCTCTACGTCAACTTTCCGCTGACGCCCAGATAAGGCGCTAGTTCTAAGAAACCAGGCCTTGAGCTAACAAGGCCTTGAGCGTCAGCGGGACGTTGACGTCACGCCGACGCCCAGATAAGGCGCTTGTTTTAAGAAACCAGACGTTTAGGAAAGGTTATCAAGGTTAATAACGAAGCGTGGCACTAAAAAAACATAATTTCTTTAAAACCATTATGATAGCAAAAAAATAAAAGTATTACAAAAAATAAAAATATAAGCATTATATAAATAAAATAAAAATACATAAATATATAAATAAAAGTATATTAACTGAAATTTGGTTTCTATGCTTGTTTAATGAAATAATCCTATCAAAATTATAAATCAATAATACCAAATGTGTAAACTTCAATTAACACTTTTAACTTATAAGACCTCAGGAAAATAAATTGGCGCATATTATTCGTTAATTGAATAATAAAAAGGTATTTTTCGTATTCCTCGTGACTTTCTGAAAGAAAAGCAAAGTTTAGATTTTTCGAAAGTTATTCATTATTTATTCATTGGGTATTAAGGCTTTTATTTTGCTTAAAAAATCGTAATTATTCTCATAATAGCCATAATTATTATTTACTTTTCACTTCAATAAGTAGCAAAATAGGCTGTATTTAATTTTTAAATTTTATAATCTGAATAACTGAGAAATCAAAAACGAAGAAAAGTAGTTTATTGAATGCATTTATCTTAACTGCATTTGTACTTATTTCTTCCATTTGCAAACTTTTATTAAAAAAACTTAAGTGGAAATTCACTTTTTTTTCATTTTTAAGAAAATAGAATTGTACGGTAACCTGCTTTTCATTTTTAGTCGCTTTAATTACTTTCCTCTTAAAGCGAACTACTTTCGTATTTGTTCGGGGCCCATTTAATTTATTCTTTAAAAGTGTTTTTCTTTAAAGAGTTTTCTCCCAAAGAAATTTCGAAATGAAGCCTCCAAGTTAAAATTACTTAGAATATTTCGAATTAAAAAAAGGTGCATTTAATGCATTTCGTATTTTTAAATCTTGAAAGCGAGAAATATTATTTCTCGTTAACTAAAAATATTCGATTAGTTATTTATGGGATTTTATAGAATGAAAAAGAAAATGTCTTCGCAATGGATAACCCAAGGAAGAATTGAATATTTCCTGATAGCTTAGTTTTGTTTTAAAAATAATCGAAAAAATGAAATTTAATTCAAGTAATCTTCGATAGGAAAATTTTTCGAAATAAAATATGAAATGTAAATATAAAAAAGAGAATTCGCAGCAAATTAAAATTTTTTTCTCGCTACATTGAATTTAAATATTTGTGAATTATTCATGAAGTTCTGAAAGAATATGTTTAGAAGAAACATAAAACTGTCCAACCAACTGCATAATTCATTTTCAAAAGAATGGGATGCGTTTGAAAATTTTCCGTTTGAAAGTTTTCAAATGTGATAAAGAAAATAAATTTTCTCGCCATGTATCTGTTAGTCAATGATACGGAAAAACGGTTTATGCAGATTCCACAAATACATAAAATATTGACTTAACAGAAATAGTGTTATTGTAATAAGCGCATCGCTTTTATCCATATTTTATCACTCAATATGCCAGCATTACATGCAAATATTTTGTGGCGATTATTGAGGCAGTTGAAGTAAAACTTTCTGCTATTAATATTATATTTTCTGCAGAAATAATATAAATTGTTTCTTTTGTTTCAGATTTTGCACAACAAATGATATAAATGTAACTTTTTTTGTTGTTCTATTCAATAAAATTTTAACTGAAAAAAGAATAATTTTTTTAGCAAAAGATTTTAAAAACGATAGAGTGGATAAATTTTTATTGCTTACAACTCAAGACGAAGTGAAGTGATTATGACCAACCATGTGATCTAAATCAGACTTAATTGGATACCTGTAAGTGACGTAACACGCGTGTGTTGAACTTGATTGGCTTTCAAATTGGTAAATGCCACTATTTATCAAAGATGACATCACTTGCAGGTATCCAATTATCAATTTCGAAACTTCGTTGGATGGAAGATATTAAAATATTATTTTTTAGTTGGGGGAGAAATAAAAGTTTTTTACGACAGTATTTTTTCATAAAAACTATAAGTGATAACTTACATTTTAGTTTGAGGTAAAAACATCAGAAAATAAATTAATAGCATTGTAATTAATATCCTAATTAAAACTTCAAGATTATAATTTACGATATTTTGTTTCATGAGTTAACAAAGAGCATTACACTATCAGGGTCAAGTTTGAACTATAAAATCTGTAGTTTTCATCCTAGTATCCGTCTCATTGCAAATACTAGTTCATAAATATTCTTCCACATCATTAGTTAAATCATTAAATCATCATTAGTTAGTTAAATTAGTTACTATAATATGGGTACTTTAAATCATGATACCGATACTTTGATCAATATTATCATGCAAATTTGAAGTTTTGAAAATGCATTACATTGAATCGTTTTTTCATTCAAGTTGCACTTTAAGACTAGCACTGCTATAGTTCAAATCCACGGTACAATATGATGCCTTCTTATGTAGTTTAACTTGATATCGTTCTTGCAGAATTTTTCTCCAATATAATGATACAACTAAATTAATAATTTTAACAGTTATGACTGGTATTATTTCATGTGAGAGTTTTGTAATAGTAAAGGATTGTCAATGTAGTATATAAAGATAATAAAACTTTGATGCATTTATAATTTTTATGATAGAAATTCAAGAGGAGGCTTTTTTCATATACTTGTTTTGACACAATTTATGATATACGAATTTTGATATTTCTCTTGCAGCGCTTAGAAGAACAAAACCAAAACAACTTAACAGTTGAAGAAATAAAAGAAAAACAGCAGAAGGCTGAAGAGAGGAGGATATCGGTAGGTTTTGACTGATCCTTATCCACTGTTTTTCCTTTTTTTTTTAATAAAGCTAATCGTTTTATTTTTAGACTAAGAAATTTATCAAGAACTTTTACGTTCTAACTCCAATGTTTATAAAAAAATCTGTGTCATATGAGGAAAAAGTATTCTTGTGACTTTACATTGTGTGAAATGCTCAAAAATAATTTTTCGAAAAACAATGAATTTATTTCGGATTTAACACAGTGATCGTTATGTTGGAAAAAGAAATAACGGTCCTCGTATTAAAATGAGCATTTGTGGTTTCGTTAATGTCTTATTAGGTTCACAGCGTATTAAATATCATCAATAGTATAGAATTCAATGAAATTTTCTGATATTAGAATTGAAGGATGGCTGTTTGTGATGTTAATGTACAGCGCACAGAAAAAGAAGAAAGCGAAACACTCTGAATAACTTTTAATCAAATAATCGGATTTTCATGTACTAGGTCTCAATCCTAATGGTTCGACAGGATGATCCTCAAATTTGTTAATAATTAGTGAAGACGATGTTTTAAATCACAAAATCAGATACACAAAAAGTATTTTCTCTGAATATATGACCTAGTATATGATGAGATATGGCGAAATACGCAACAAGTAAAATTAGCATTAAGGGGTCCAGACTTTCGACCGCTCTCCTGAGCAAACTATTGGGACCATATTTCCCCGATTAAAGCCATCCACTGTATTTTGGAGGGTTGAAAAAAGGTATGTTTATTCAGAGACAGTACGGGTTTGTATTTCGATATTTCGTAACTTGAAATATCGTCTGCATTCAATAATTAGCATATTTGAAGTTTGAAAGTCACCCATGGAACCATTTAGATTGAGTCCTAATACGTGAAAATCAGATCATTAGATCAATAGTTATTTAGAATAGTTCGCTGCTTAATTGAGCAAAAGTATTCGCATTATTTTATGGTGTTAGCTTATTGAACATACTATATTAGCATTTCAATTAAATAAATTAAAACTGGCTATCGAAATTTTTAATCTAAAACTGTTCAACGATAAAAAAAATAGAAGGTGTCTTGATAATATTCACAGAGAAGTATTAAAAAATTTACATTCTAACGGTAAAGAATGCCAAAAAGCAACATAATTTGTTTTAAAGCGCGAGATAGAAACGCTTTTTGCCCTGTAACATACGGAGTTCTATAACGGTAGCAAACTTAACTACTCGTTGGACAATAAGTATATCGTTTGCTTTTATTATTCTTACTTGAAATTATTTTTATTAATTTAGATTGAGATTTAGATTTTAGATTTTATTCATAAATTTATTCGTTTTATTTTGATTCTAAAAAAATGAGTGAATGTTTTTTCTTAAAGGATGTTGAGTGTTAATGAAGAAAAGATACATTTTTTAATACTCAAAGTAAATTACGATTTGATTTAAATTTTTTTTTTTGTTGTTCTTAAAGTTATTTCTATGATGAATGAAATATTTATTTATATTACATTAAATTTAAAAAGAAATAAACAAAAGACATGCAAAGAGACAGATTTAATTAATTTTAGAGTGTTCACTCAAATTTACAGCATAAATTAAACGCTTCCCATTAAAGTTGGTAGGGGCTCTGACATAATTAAAGCAAGAGAAATTTTGAAAAGTGTGGTGTTATTACATCTAAGTGTTGCGTCTTTAATGTCTCTACAATGAAATAATCATTATGTTGTTTTGTCTAAGTTTGATAGCAAAAATTGAAATTAAAGAAATATATGGAATATATAACATTGATACATTAAATTATATAGAATTGTAGCCTTACGTAGAACCGCTTGCACAAAATCCCATGATCCATTTTACTTTCTGAGCTAAAAATATTTTTTTAAATAAAATGAGACATTTATTTTTATATATTTCTTCGTGACAGAAATTACTTTATTGTAATTGTTTTAATATATTTCTTATAAAAAGTTTGTTCGAGTTTAAGTTAGAGTTTTCTTGCTTTTTACTGTTAGAGAAAATGATGCATTATTGCTAGAAAGTATTTCTAAAATGTGTATTAATATGTTTTTTATCTGTGAAAATTTAACTTCTCTGAAATATATTATTTTATTGCTTTTAATGTAATACACATAAAAGGAACGAAAGCTTAACAATTTTTTGAATGACTACAGAACTTGGAACGTAGAGCTTAGACTGTTATATAAAAATAGCTTTGAATTAGCTGTTTCAAAAATATCAAAATATATAGACACACATTATATATAATCAAGATTTTGTATTATCACACTTCAAGGTTAAAATATACAATATTCATATCAGCTATTGATTCCTTTTAACAGAGAGAGAGAGAGTATTTACATGCATGTTTGTTATTATTCATGTTGCTAAGATACAGTATAAGCTCTATCAATATATTTCAAAGGGATCGTTTTATACATCTAAAATGGAGGATAAAAGGAAATGGTAATTTACTTTTCTCGAAAAAAATAATTGAAGACTAAAACATTTATATATTATACAACTCAGACATTGCAACAAGAGCTTAGAAAAAAATTATAAGCTGAAAGCTTCATAGAGTTGTATTTTTGGATGACCTATAATAAATGTTATTATTCAATAATTTGCGTTGGTTATAATAGCTTAATTCTGAGGCCACGCGGTAGCGAGACAAAGAATTGGTCTATTTAATATTTTTGATGTTTTGAGTTCCGTAGACTGGAGTTATTTAGCCGAAAAGTCTGTACAGTTGTCAGTATATGTATTAAGAGGTCTCTTTCCTCCCGGTTGAAATCAACCGTAGAATGGGGGTAGACGCAGAAGAGAAATTTTATGTATGATTTAAATCTTCTTTATTTTATTTTCCAAAATAAACTGATGCTGGGCCTTTTCCTCACTCGGCAGTATGCTTCGAAGCTTGCGAATTGCTAGACCATTTTATATTGTGATATATTTTTTTCTACAATTCTTAAATCAGCATTTTCTTAAAAGATATTTAAGAAATATAGAGTTGTTCATTTTTAAATTTTTATAAGCATCTTTATTTTTGCTTAATTTGCGTTTTAAAAATTTTCAATATTATTCATATCCAGTTGTCCTCAGTTTAATTGGCCGGGATAGCCTGGCTGGCAGGGCACTGGACTCACGTTTGTGAGAACGGGAGTTCGAATCCAGCCGGCCAAAGACTTCCCCTGTAGTAAATGGTGAGTGGTGCACGCTAAATCTCTTGGGTCACAAAGTCCTCCATGCTTCCATAACAAATCATACATCTGGGGTACTGAATTGGAGATTGATCGTTTTCTGGTTCTGGTCAAAATTACGATCTGTGGACTAATGAATGGATATATGAATGGGTCCACCCTATTAACGGGTGTGACGTATGGGTGGGGCAGAAGTCGAATTCTCTAACATAGATAGCGCCACTGGAAAACAAGAACAATCGCAACCCCCTCTACCTTAATGGCTGACAAAAACAATAACAATATCAGTTTAAACAATAATATAGTGCTATAGATGTGATCGCCCACCCAAAGTTTGCTTAGAACGAAAAACATCAAGAAAAGGAAAATCAAAATTTTTATCTAAATCTAAGCAAACACACGTAGAAAAAATTCTATCCTGTTAAAACTACCGTACTTTAAGGTAGTGACATTTTTGGTAAAAAAAAACCATAATTCTGGATTAAAAAAAGCAAAATATATGGTATTTAAACCATACATTTGGTAATTTTTCTTTTCGTATGGTTACAGTTTACCGGGAATTCAGATATCTAAAATGTTGGCTTTTATTACCTGGCATATAGAAAGAAATATAAAACAGAAAGCAAATTCAACCGCAAAAATTTATTTCAATGCTAGACTCTAAGGTATCATGATAAAATTACCAAATTTTATCACATATTATAAAACCATATTTTACAATATTATATATTACTTTAAATACCTTTAATTACTATAAATACTTTTAATACGATATGGTATTTATTATTTCGTTCAGATATTGGAAGAGAAGAGCAGAATAGCTCGCCAAGCCCAAAAGATGTATACCAAAAATGGTGAAAAAGTTGATCATAATGAAGAAGAGAAAGAAAACCAGGCCAGCTGAATAATATTAAAAATGGTATGTAACAATTGTATTCTTTAAATAGACAATTGTAATTTCATAAATAATTTGAAGGAAAATTCAACGAATAGGAATAGATAGTGTGGGATATTAATTTTTGAAATAATTTGACTTTAAAAGTAGCTGGTCCATTGTGCATTGTTACATGATTAATAATATTAAAAGCGGTATGCAATTGTATTCTTTAAATAGACAATTGTAATTTCATAAATAATTCGAAGAAAAGTTTTACGAATATAGCATAGATAAAGTGGGATATTAATTTTTAGAATTATTTTACTTTGAAAGTAGTTGGTCAATTGAGAATTGTTGCAGGATTAATAATATTAAAAATGGTTTCGAACTATTGTATTTTTTAATAGACAATTGTAATTTCATAAACAATTTGAAGGAAAGTTCAGCGAATAAGCATAGATAAAGTGGGATATTAATTTTTGAAATAATTTGATTTCAAAAGTAGTTGGTCTATTATGAATTGTCGCAGGCCTAATAATATTAAAAACGATATATAACAATTGTATTCTTTAAATAGACAATTGTAATTTCATAAATAATTCGAAGAAAAGTTCAACGAATAGGAATAGATAGTGTGGGATATTAATTTTTGAAATAATTTGACTTTAAAAGTAGTTGGTCCATTGTGCATTGTTACATGATTAATAATATTAAAAGCGGTATGCAATTGTATTCTTTAAATAGACAATTGTAATTTCATAAATAATTCGAAGGAAACTTCAACGAATAAGCATAGATAAAGTGGGATATAGATTTTTGAAATAATTTTATTTTAAGAGTAGTTGATCTATTGTGAATTGTCACAGGCCTAATAATATTAAAAACGATATATAACAATTGTATTCTTTAAATAGACAATTGTAATTTCATAAATAATTCGAAGAAAAGTTCAACGAATAGGAACAGATAGTGTGGGATATTAATTTTTGAAATAATTTGACTTTAAAAGTAGTTGGTCCATTGTGCATTGTTACATGATTAATAATAATAAAAGCGGTATGCAATTGTATTCTTTAGATAGACAATTGTAATTTCATAAATAATTCAAAGAAAAGTTTTACGAATATAGCATAGATAAAATGGGATATTAATTTTTAGAATTATTTAACTTTAAAAGTAGTTGGTCAATTGAGAATTGTTGCAGGATTAATAATATTAAAAATGGTTTCGAACTATTGTATTTTTTAATAGACAATTGTAATTTCATAAATAATTTGAAGGAAAGTTCAACGAATAAGCATAGATAAAGTGGGATATTGATTTTTGAAATAATTTTATTTTAAGAGTAGTTCGTCTATGGTGAATTGTCACATGCTTAATAATAATAAAAACGGTATGCAACAATTGTATTCCTTAAATAGACAATTGTAATTTCATAAATAATTCGAAGAAAAATTCAGCAAATAAGCATACATAAAGTGGGATATTGATTTTTGAAATAATTTTATTTTAAAAGTAGTTGGTCCGTTGTGTATTGTCCCAGTCATCCATATTCGAACTAATAGGTGCTTTAAATCTAAATAAAAAATTGTTTCTCATTTTTACATAATCTCATTAATTACATTAGTAGTAGAAGAGCTATCTCGTCATTTATAAGTTTTTAAATATGTATTTAAATTAGCATATATTCTAAACAAAATTATTAGTAATTTTTTTAGTTAAAATGAAATTGTATTTGAAGTTATTTCCTTGTGTTTTTTCTATTTTAAATACATTATTAAAATGTATAATAGGTAAAAATTCATTATTTTTATAAATTTAGTGAAAACAGACTTGATTAGAAAATTTTATTTTTAAAAGCGTGAATTTAATACTTTAAGGAAAATAGGCTTGAGTAAAATAAAATTATTTTGACCTGTAAAATGATTCCACATTTAAGTAAAAAATTCCCCTTTAAAAGGTTATAATATTATTGTATGTACGGAGAAAAAAATTTTGGTGAAATTACCCTATGGTAATGATATTTCTGGTAAAATAAAAATCGTAGTTCTGACTAATAAAAACCAAAATGTATGGCATTGAATGCCATTCATTTGATAATTTTTCTGTTCATACGGTATCGGTTGTCCAGAAATTCTGTTCAACAAAATTGTCGATCTTATTACCTCACATTTAGAAAAAAAATACAAAACAGAAAAGTAAATTTTACCGCATTAACGGTTTTTATGCCATGCGCTAAGGTATTATGCTAAAATTACCAAATATAATCACAGATTATAAAACCATATTTTATCGTTGGTTTTACCAAAATCAATCCCAAGATGCTTCAGTAAATATTCTGAACTCTTTGGTGTTCCCATAGAACCAGAAACACGGTAAAGTTAATCATATTAAAGTAGTTACGACAATACTTTTTTGCTCAGTCTTGAATGCAAATTTAATTGAAAAATTTCATTCCTTACTGTGTCAAGAATAATTTTTTATTCCATATTTTTATCTCTTTTCAGATTCTACTGGAGGAACAAGAGCAACAAATAAAGTTGTAATTAAAATGTGTGTGATAAAGACATTTTTATGTGCCTTTAAATATTATTTAAGAACTGAACGAATGATAAACATAAAACAATGAACTTTGCCTTTCATTTATTTTGTATGACACGCAAAATATTTATATTTAGTATTCAGATGCTATCTGCTCACATGCTAGCATCAATATTCTTTATTGCTGTAGAATCACAAATTCTTGTAGAAAAAAATGTATATACACTTGTGAAATCTATAAAACGTTTGATGGATAATATGCTTTTTTATTTTATGTGTATTTAAAATGCTATTCACTGTAAAAAATCACACTAAAAAGCACTGGTATTATTTACCGTAAAATTAATTTTTTCTTGAATATGTTACGAAGCAAAAAATCCGATATGCTGTTGTTTTTACAATAATAATTGTCGTAAAATGACTATATCAATCGAATTAAATAAGTATTATTGTAAAAATTACAATATATTTTGCGGTGAAATAGATTTTACGGTAAAATGGATTTTATGGTAAAAATTGATTTTATTGTAAAATGGATTTTACGGATGATGCACCGAAAGTGGCGGCACTTTGTTCTGTAATTTGATCCGAAATTTTTTACAGTATAGTCTTTACGTGGAAATTGTTATTAAATGTTCTATTATGTCAAATGTTCTTAGAATTCATTACATTCATTTTCTCTATGAACTCAATAAGAAAAATTGAGAAACAGTTTGAGATTTTTATTAATACTGTGAAAATAGATTTTTATTTAATACTGAATTACATTAATCAGAAATTTTTAAAATTATTTCTTTTTTCAGATAATACAATGTAAAGATTGCTATTCCTTTCATGACAGTAAAATAATATTGTGTTAGATATGTAAAATTCTTGTGTTTAAAAATATTTTATTTTTATTTCTAAATAGCATTAATTAATGAAATTTTATGTGATTGATTTATTTGAATCAGTAAAAATTGATTTATAATCAACAAACAGTTTAAAAACTCATTTTTTCAATAATATACCAATTCTACGATAAATAATAATTTCTACGAAAATAATTTCTATGATTACCAATTTTATTTCGATTGTGTACTGAGTTTAAGATAAAATTTCAATCTTTGTCCCTTTTTATGCATATATTACTGGTAAACTAAGAATTGTCGGCATTGTATACAACACCGGGAAGTATAAATTATGTGAATTATTATATGCCTTATTTAGGTAATATAGAATAACAAATGCTTTTTATGCATAGTTTGATCTATGTTTTGACAGTTGTAAATCACAGAGAAAGAAAAAACACATTATCTTTTCCAATTTTTCCTTAAAATAAAATAAATAAATAAATAAAAACTGGGTTGAAGACCAAAGAAAAATATTTTTCTTTATTCAATCAAACAGATTTTTATAAAGCATAATTGGTTCCTTAAAGCCGAATTATTTGGCAATCATTAATAATATCCGATTAGAAAATTAAAGTACAAAATACTCGGCAATAGTTGTTTAATTTGAAAAACATAGTGTATGGAATACTGGCGGTTGGTGTAGTTTGAGCAATGGTCCCTTTACCTTAAAAGCATTAGCGTAAGGAATACCGGGCAATGGCTCGTCACCTTAAAATAACATCTATGTAGAAAATACCGGACAATATCGTAGACAATGTCGTATTTCATTCCAATAAATCTTATTACCAATTATAATAAATAGACATTATCAATTATAATACGTACAGTGTAGAATGCAGAATGTGTAAAATGGCAAATAATTTTATACTTTCAGTCATTCGGTGCTTTTCAGTCGATTTTCAGTTTCGAAGACAATGCCAGAATTCTCACTTTGCCTGTAACATACTTTATAAAAGTCTAAAAAAATTTAAGCAACTAACAAACTATGTTATGTATGTTTCGTAGATTTTTAGGTTTAGCACTGCAGATTCTTACTTTAGTATTGCAGAAGCTGTGTAATTTCATTTTCATACAAGCTCTGACACTAGAGAAGGTTCTTTTTCATAGAATCAAAACTATAGTGTGTTCCTTTTTTATCATTATTTGTGCATTTTTAACACCATTTAGTTGCTTAATTTATACATAGCACAACGTACACCTTATATTGATTTGGAGACATGTTTCATTTGCATTTTTTTTTCAATTTATTATTGAAGTAAAGCAATTAACCCTAAAAATTTTATAATAAAAATTAATTTTTATCTACTATCTATTTCTGTAGAACAATTTGTAATCACAAAATATTTTAATTAAAGTTTTATTCATGTTATTCATTCATGTCATAATTTTTTTCTTCATGTTATTCACATTCTATTGCTACAGAATTGCATGTAACACACAAGAACACTATGAAATGCCTCCTTGTAAATTTGAAGCAATTGTAGAACAACTTGTGGGTGTTTTAATATAAGTTAGTTCGTCACAAAAAAACCATAAAACTATTATAATAAAAACCATTTTCTTATTCAATCGTTATTTTTATTACAATGTCCCTAAGTTTTAAAATAAATTAAGATTCAAAATGTGAGGTTTTTAGGTAACAAATTATTCTAGAATAATGTTTTAGAATTTACGACTGCGGAACACATTTTTTGTTGCAATTCTGCCAATGCTTGAAATTACTTAATTCGAGTACGGGAGATTTCAAATCTGAGACAAGTTTTGCTCTTAAAGCTACATATTTTTTTAAAAGTCATTTTTAGACTATTTTTTGTCGAAAAAAAAGTTTAAGAATGTTATATGTAACAATTAGTCGCATAAATGTTCCTTCCAGAAGAATTAGGGCACATCATCAAGATTAAAATTGCATAGAAACCTGCGCCCCGGAAATGCCGTCGTGCTTGGCTAGGGGCGCTTCCCTTTGATGACCTGTTCCAAAGCACAAGAAGAAACAATTCATAAAAGGAAAGCGCGTTTAGCAGCGTATGACGACATTTCCGCGCATGAGTTTATATACAATTTTAATCCTGATGACGTGCCTTAATTCTACAAGAGGTTTTGTCGCACATTTATGCGATCTCCTGTTATATTTAACGTTTTAAAACTTGCACATTTTAATAAAAAATAGACTAAAAATATCTTTAAAAAAATCTGTACCTTGAGGAGTGAAATTAATTGCAGATTTGAAATCTGTGGTATGAAACTATCTATAATCTGCGATACGAAATCTGTTAAAAAAATCTAACGCAACTAAAAAAATTATCCTCCAGTACCCTGCATAATTTGAAATCAAATGTTGATATATTTCTCAAAGAATGCAAAATTTTTCTGCACTCTAACACAAAAAACAACAGCGTCATGAAGCTTTTTCACCAACCAATTTAGGAAATTTTTTTTATGAAAACCTTCATGCGTATTTGCAATTGATGTAAATTGCCATTTTCGTTCTTTATTTACAATATTTTTTTTCTTTAACTGGCGACAGTAAATTTTCATGTGGCTATATCTGCTGCATCTGAATCTATTTTTCAAACAGGGCTCCTGCGTTTGACATGAATTGGTATTTTCATCCCATTTCATGCGGTATTCATAAAAAATATTCTCTTGTTTAAAATAGATTTAGGCTATAAGTTGATTCGCAGATAAAATGCATAAATAAAAACCAAAAACTAATCTTTTTCAACATGTAAGATTTGATTCGTATTCAATTTAATTCATTTCTTGGAAGTCGTGTAAGAATCTTATTACATTTCGTTGATAAATAGAATTCATATAAAAAAAATCATTGGTAGAACAGGTTTTTTTCAGTGTCGCTGAAATTCAATTGACTGTTTATTTGTGTATTCCAAAACTTATTTTCGAACTCTATATCACAAAAGTTAAAACCTTTTTTTTTCCCATTTTGTGTCGAAGCTTCACGCATATCATCATTCATCGGGAGTATTGAGAATTATTTTTTTTTTGTTGATATTCCCGTTGAAAGTTTGAAAAGAAGATGAAAAATGTTTAAAATTCATGTTTGAGACTTTATATTTCTCAATGCAGAAAAGAATATTTATGAAATAGTTTTCAAAATTGAAAATATTTCATATTATTTAAATAATACTATATTTTAGGAGCGTTTTCATTGATATTACAAACTATATAAAGTCGTTTACAATATTTCAGCAGTTAAATAATAACAATAACTTCATACATAACATAGTTTCAGGTCTCATTAGAGTTGGTAGGAACACTAAACACTATAGAAAAGTAAACCATCACTATAACTTTTACTATAAACAGTTCCATTTGAAAAATTGTTTTCAAACTTCCTTTCATTAAAATAATGGATTTAATTGAAATAACTAACGCTTTTCATTCAAACAACTGATTTTTTTCGAAGAATATTATACTACAAACTATATAAAACTGCTTACAACAGTTAAATAAAACAAGATTTTGTTAAGTATAGTTTCAAGACTCATTAGAAATTGGTAGGAATACTAAACATTATAGAAAAGTAGACAATCACTATAACTGTTACTGTAAACAGTTAAATTTCCAAAAAGGTTTTCAAGCAGGTTTTCATTTAAATAATGTATTTATTTCAATAATTAACACTTTTCCTTATTTAAATAATTTAAACAATGGATAACTGTGATTATAAACAGTTCTATTTCCAAAAGGGTTTTCATTTTTTTTCTTTATATAAACAATTCAAATAATGGATTTTTTTCGAAAAAATTTCAGTTCCACACGAAGACTTAAAAAAAAGCGAAATAATATTGTTTATGATCTTGTAAACATGCAAATCGCAAAACGTTCTGAAGTTAAATAGTTTTAATATAAATTTGCTCGTATTGAGATTTGAAAACAGAATCATGTCATTCTTTACATAAAAAATATCTGCAATATCTTAGAATAAATGCGCAAACACTGGAACTCAAAAATTGCATTACTCGGCATGTCCGGGCATGTTTGTTTTTTCCTTCATGCCATGCTTCATCAGCTGCAATTTAAGATAAGTTTTTTTACACGAAAGAAAGTAGGCATGATGAAGGTCTTGCACTTGCTAGTAATGTCAAATACTTCTGATTACAATAGTTTGTTGTTGATAAAAATGAAGTTTATTAACTTCAACAAATGTTTATTCGAGCGAAGAAACTAATAAACAATGCAAAACAACCCATCAAAACTAATTTGTACTTAATACTTTTTCTTAATCAAACTTAAGGCTCATTTGTTCATAACACTAGTATATCTGATTTATACGAGATGTGATGTAATTATTGTCATTTTTATTAGCAGTTTAATAATAGATGCGTTTATATGCTTTTATAAATATGCATTCGAAAAATAATGTTTGGGCATTTAAAAGTTTCATTTGGGCTATTGGTTTTGGAATAATAATGTCAAACAGGGCATGAAAGAATTTTGAGATTTTTCGAGCTAAGGGGGGGGGATACGAGTTTTTAATTGCTGTTCTGTCCAACAAATGTTGAAATTCTTGAAAAACGCATTTTTATTTTGGTCGGATTTCAATTTTCACCATTTTCTAAAAATCGTTTTGAGCCAGTTAAAGAAGGAGGAAAATTATATTATTTTAAACAACTATAGATTGGTATTAATATGAAATGTTATTTTAACCGACAATGTTTCTATTTTGGAGATTAATAAGAAAAAAATCAGTTTTCCATCTATTTCAAAGGGAAAAAAATTCAAATGAGAAAAATGCTAATTTAACTGATTCAGAAATTAATTTACAAATCATTAAATAATATAACGAAAATAGTGAAATTTTCAATAATTTTGTGTTTTTAGTAAGACAAATATAAAATTATTGTCTTGATTATTTTTAAGTGTACCAAGTACACTTAAAAAAGACAACTGGTCTTTTTTAAGAACAACTGGTTTAAGGGTACAGTGCTCTTTTATTCCTCTTTGTGCTATATTTTAGTAAATATTATTGGAATTATTTATTTTAAATGGTTTTATAA